CACTGCGAGAATCACGCGTTATGCGTGAAATCGAACGTAAAAACAGGACAAACAAAGGTCATAGCGTCGTAGTCGCGTCAAACATCGCGTGGGATTCGACAAACGCGAAAGTATTTCGGGGACATTTCCATGCTTAATAATGTGCTGTCCACATTTGATGATAGGCAATTTTGACTAAGTAAGGGTATTCGGAAGCAATATTCCTCTGTCGAAGATCGGCCGGTCAATGTAAGCTGCGAAATAAAGAAATTCTAGTTCAAAATCAAATCGTTTGATTTTTGCGGCAGACGTTCGACGCGTGTCTTTCATGCATCTCGCAAGATCTCGCAATTGTACGGAAAGTCACCTATTTCATGTCATGCTTGTTGATCTGTCACTGAATTGTTCATCAAAACACTTTATCATCATTTTGTGAAGGTATTTCATCATATACAAACACCTTTGATTTGTCACTGTGTAATGCAACTGGACCACTTAAACAGGTGAAAGAAAAAAATGTTAATTTCAAGCCCAGACCACAACATGCACTCAGATTTGCACTTGTTGCCTTTGCTTTAATCAACAGAAACCATGGTATGGGAGATACAAGTGTTAAGTTTGATGTGAAAGTCAGTAAAAATCAGAAAAGTGAATATACCATGACATGTGGCAAACATGTAGCTATGGTAAGTCTAAAATAAATGCTATTATTGTATTACTGTATGTATGTATGTAGTGGGTCCAATGCTATGACAATGTACTTCTAGCAACCAAAAGTAGATTGGTGCTCTTGACATATGCCAGTGATGTTTTCATTCCAAAGTGCATTAATTCATTGAAGCTTTATTTGTTGTGAATTCTGAGAAATAGTTAAATATGTCTGTCACTTTTCCAGTTTTCATTGATTTCTTTTGTTTGTTCGAATAGAACATCTTCATGAAATAATAAATTAAACTTTTAAATTCTTCAATTAATTACCAATATTTTCTACATTAATTCTACATTTAATTTTATTTTTCAGGGTTTTTGCAAGAACAAAATAATTGGCAAACAATTGGCATCCCAGACTATACTACAGG